GTGGTTGAGTTGCCACGGTGCCTGTCATGGGGGTTGATCTCTGGATGGTATTCTTAAATAATTGTTTAACATTATTTAATGTTAAACAAGAGACATAACAATACGACCATGCTGGTTTGAACATCCCAAGGATATTCAGAATTCTCAAGAGCTGTTATAACTAGCCTGGAGGAGAAAGGGAAGGTAAAGGAGTGGGGGAAAGTGTCCCCCCCGTCTTCCCCATAGATTGGTTCTCCGAGGAGAGAAGGTAAAAAGTGTAATTATTAATAGTTTCCAAGAGGTGGGTCCTGGAGTACGGAGATGACGACAATGCTGAGTACAAATAACAGATTAGTCTCACAACCAGCCATTTTATCATATCCTAAGCCAGTGCTACAAAGTACGGCAAAATTATAACCTTGACCCAGCTCCCAGAGGTGATAAACAGCACAACAGGGAACATATACAGCAAGTAAGGTGTTAAATAACACAACTCTGAGAACCAGCACAACAACTCTGAGAGCAAATAAATCAACATTTTGACCGCTGACTATTAACCTAATATAATGAACGCTTATAACAAATTTGCCTTAACACGCTCTGGTCAGATCTGTCGTTATCTCAACCCTTCGAGCCCCACATTGGGTGCCAAAAAGGACTGTTGTGGTTTAACGTGGCAGGCAGCTAAACAACAAAGAGCCGTTCACTCACTCCCCCCTCATTTTTTTTGTTCAGCATGACATCATATGGTATGGAATATCCCTTTGGACTGTTTGAGTCAGCTGTCCTGGCTGTGCCCCCTCCCAGCTTCTTGTGCATCTCCAGCCTCCTTGCTGGCACGGTAGTATGAAAAGCTGAAAAGTCCTTGACTTAGTGTAAGAACTGCTCAGCAACAACTAAAACATCGGTGTGTTATCAACATTATTCTCATGGTAAATCCAAAACACAGCACCATACCAGCTACTAGGAAGGAAATTAACTCTATCCTAGCCGAAACCAGGACAGCCTCATCAGTATCTGCAGCCTTTCAGGGAATAAGCAGTGAAAGACCAGAGATACCTTCTGCTGACTTTAACATCAACAGTTTGCCTACCAGTAATAGGGAGAAAAATAAATATTAAAACTGATTTAAATTAGCTTTTTTTATTCCATACAAACTATTAAAGAAGTAGTCAGATCTTTGGTGGAAGGAGGAATTAACTGTTTCTCTTCACAACACTGTTATATGCTATAATCAACAGGCATATTTCTACTAAAAAAATCTGTTATTTTGGTGCAGATGAAGTATGAAGACTGATTAGCCACATGCCTTTTTTTTTTTTAATTACAAAAGAACAAAAACCACAGTTCCAACTCCACTGTCCACCTAAAGAAGACATCCTCTTCTATATTCCAGAACAGCTAGGACAGTAACTTTTGTCTCCTTCTGAAGAGAGGCAGAGGACATTTTTACAGGCTCAATACTGTATTTTTTCACAATCGGCTTCCCTCACGTTACTAGGGTGGGTTTTTTTTTCCACCAGGATTCTCCCTGCCCCTCAATCATGTGACAAATGGACTATCCCTCCAATTTCTAATTCCTGGAGCAGACATGTAGGTTTACTGACATTAGTATGGAAACCAAACAACACAAGCAAACACTACAGCTACCACCAAAAAATGCTCCAAACTCAAACACACACAAGGAGGCTACATAGGACCCTAGTGGCAGCTACATTTATTGATACTCCTTCTAATGACAGTTCAGCGATAGAGACCCCATGACACTGTCAAAGAACCTTGCAGAAATTTTTGTGGTCTCCCACAGCACCATTGGACCCTACCTACTCAGAAGGCAGATGTAAAGCACAGGCATAGAAAGGTATTACCTTATCTTTGGCCACAGGGAGCGTGGTTTCTATCGGGTCTGGAAACAAAGTATCTCGCAATGGAGGGACACATCCAGTTAAATCTGGTGTGTAATGTGCACGGAACAGTGGAGATTGAATTGATCCTGGGAAGGAGCATCTACGTTCTTCTGGTAAAGGCACTGCTTGGTTAACTACAGTTTCAGAATGATGTGAATTAAACCGCTGCCGTTTGACATCATGTGGAATACTTTGTTCACTCAGTCTCCTAAAAACAAAAATTAAAAAAAAAAAAAAAGAAAAAGAGAGAGAGACAGTAATTCCTCTAGTATGCAAGCTCCAACCTATGATTAAAAGACAGTTGCTACAAAGTACAAATACCAATGCTTAATTATGTGACTATTTCACTAAAAGCAAGTATTCTACAGAACAAAAGGCATGCCCATCCTAGATATTAGATGAAATAAACTTGGAATGGGAAAAGAGAACACACAACTGCAAAAGTGCAGCGACCCTTGGTGAATTGATAAAACTGCTTTACAAGAGTGTCTGTATTAACCAATTGAAACCTAAATGGCAAGTTTGGTTAAGCAGGACAGCTCAGAAAGCTGGTCATACTATTTCAGTGACAACATAATTAAAAAAAAAAAAAAGATACATACAGACTATGTAAGAGTACTTTTCTTTTAAATCAATGTAAGAGCAATGAGAAGTTTTGTGAGTTCTGAATACCCAGTGATGAATAAAATAAATTTGGTAGTGGGGAGGGAAGAAGAAGAAACATCACAATAGCCATTCAAAATGTAGCATTTGTCTGTGTCTTAGATTGTACAGACAGTAAACTGTGTAACCTGGGCAAAAAAGAAACATTATTCACTTGACAAATCAAACTAATGATTGTATTAAGCTACACAGGTCATAAACCTAATGTCTCATTTTCAAACACTAGTCTGTATCTCCTCATTAAGTCATTTGTCACAGGAATTCAAATATATTTGAAGAGATATAGTGATCTTACAGACAGCCCCCCCAGGTCTTACAGAAGTCTTCATCAAGAAAAAGTTGTACTGAAAGCTGACCAGTGGTTGAATACGGTGGTCCGTCCACGGTAAAGAGTAAGAAAGGACATTTGTGTTTTAGTTATACATCAAGTATTGCCTAAAGTTAATCAGTATGGGAGTACTCACACATTTTTTAATTAAAAACCATGAAATCAAATGTTCATATGTATTAATGAATTCACTATTCGTAAAACTACAATCATTTCTTGTAGTCAGAAAAGCTGGCATCAAAGAAGTTTGGAGACCTGGACAGATAGTGTTATTAATAATAAAAATTTAACTGAAGAGACCTCAAGTCATCATTTTAGTTTGCAAGACTGAAAGAAGTTCTGATAACATACCTATCCACAATCTTAAAGGAACTCATAATGTAACGTTAAATCAAAACATAATACTGTTTCAGCCTATTTTGACTGAGAAGAACTTGCATGAAGTCGTGTTCGGCAAAAATACCTTCAGAAGAGTCGACTCAAAATCTAAGGATTAACTAGTTGACTGCAAATCTCCTAACACAGCATAGCTTTCCATAAACCAGACTGGTCAAGAGGAAAACATGCATGCAGCATAAAACCAGGAACTTCTTTAGTTCATGTGATAGTTATATACTCAACTATGACTTAATACCATATATTTAATTGTACTTATTTTCTCATCTGTTAAAACTGGAAGAGAAATAGCATACAGGAAATAGCTTTGAAGACAGATTACATAAAGCTTCCTCCCTATCTGCTGGTTGACAGAATTATTACAAACACATATCAACTACTATTTCTGAACTGATGAGGAGAAGTGATTTTTTTCAAGAATGTTAAAAGAAAATAAAACCATACGTTCATCTCAAATTCCTCTTTCTGTTGCAACAAAGGTAACACAGGAAGTTACCTAAATTCAAGCAAGTTTAGTTTTTTGAAAAGTAGAAAAACTATGTTTCCATAAAATTCCTCTTGAAAAAAGAACTTACATATGCTTGAATTTAGCACTTTGTATTTTAAAAATAAAGCATCACATAATTAAGAAAATCCGGAGAAACACCTAGTATGTCATCAGAAAAACATCACAATTCCCATAAAACATTAAGGGTGCGGTCTTACTCTTAACAAATTAACAGGAAGAGAACACTCAATTTATTGACACAAACCCTCTTATAGTCAAGCACACACAGACCACAATCCATTATAGTATTAAATAAAACACTTAAGTCACAGCTCTCTAAGGCTACGGCTGTTGGAAGAGAGAAACTACACATACTAAGTCACTAAAACTCACAAAAGCATGTACATGAAAGCTTTAAAGAGCCACGGCATGCCCTGTTTCATCAAAAACCATTTTATTCAGTATTCTTGCAATTTCTAACAAAATTCAGGTTGCACAAGAAATTGGTATTAGACAAGCTTCACCATGAGTACACTACAACCAGAATTAATCACACATACACAGAACTTACTTTCTTCCTCGGAATAACGTGGGAGCATCAGACGTATGTACTGGACTGCCATTTCCATAAGTCATTGGCTGCGGTGTAACAGCTGGAATAGGTGCAAGGTTCCGACTCAAAAGAGCCCTGGAAAGACTACAGTCCATAAATGTTATTCACATGATAACTAAGATCCTTTTTATGGGTTGGTAGTTTTTCTTAAGTGAATACGGAACTCAGCAGGTCCTGTAATTTTTTTCTTAGAAGAAATACATATGTCTTTTCTATCCAAAATGAAGAGATATTTCAGTACATAATATATTTTTCATTAAAAAAATAGAAGATGGTAATTCTTCACAGCACACGTGTAAGAAGAGGTTAGCAAACAAATTAACTTAAGGTACTGTTAAATTTAAGAGCCTAAAGAACACTATGGTGTCTTCAAATCTAGCCCCAAGAATAAATGTTTCTTCCCTTTCTCATGTCCTCCCTGTTTTCCCCAGTAAACAAATACAACTGAAGATCTTTAAAGCTGAACTGTGGATTATTAACTCTAATCAGCACAATGGCATCTCATACATGATGCATAATGCAGGAGAGCATTAAAACTTGCAGGTCACCAACAGAAATGATAAAGCTCTGGTTTACACATAGACAGCTTCCTATTTTTTAAAGTTTAATGCAGTTTAATGTTAAAAACAGTGAAAAACATCCTCCATAAAAAGAAATACTTGTTTCAAAAGACCGTTAACTCTCTTTTTCAACCCAATCCCCACTATCAAATCTTACTGTACTTACGCTGCATTCTGAAAATTAAACTGAGCATCAATAATTTGCTGGTGAGAGAGAAGAGTAGGTGGCATATTCAGAGGAAGCTTATTGAAGAAAGTACTCTGTTGTTGATGTTTTGGAGGGAAGGGTGGACGACCCAAGTTGGAGGAATTTGGGAACATGCTCCTTTCTACTTGAAGTGAACATGTATCCTTTCACCTACATTTAAAAAAAAAAAATCTAATTAGGTAACAAGAAATACTAGTTACCTTTTAAACGCTGGTTTAAAAATTCAAATAATCTAGAGTGTATTTCCAGAAATTGTTTAAAAGAATCATGATCGTGGGCTAGTTTTATCTCCTTTCAGGACAACACACTAAATAAAAATACTACATACTGTTAAGTTTCACAATTACTACTTACTTTATTTATGTTTAAAAGTGAATTTTTATTTGCTCCCCTCCGTTTTAATTTTAGAAAAATTACATGGCACAAAGGTTTTCATCGCAAGGAAAAGTAACATATTACAGTGGAATATGTTTCTTATTTCAAACATTCCACAGTGAGATTCACAATATATGGGAGGAAACACTTGACTACATCATAAGAACATGAAGATGCAGCTGATCATGAACTATAAGTAAAATTAATTTTTTTTTCATGACATGATATGCAAAGAAGCAGCCAAATGACGACAGCAATGGGGAAGTAATCTACTCATGCTTTAAGAATATCATATATATAGTGTAATTTTATGTTTGTGCTTACTGAATGGATTCTGTGATAGAAAAATGTAGGTTTATTATCTTTTAAATTCAAAATTGGTTCTGGCACAACTGACTGCTGTTTGATTTTGTATCATTGTATGCATTACACATTAGCAGAAAGGTTGGATGAAAAAGAAAATCTTTGCCTCTACAGTAGGTTAAACTGCGTATTGCATCCATTTTGCGGATCATCACTATTTTCCCTTAAGCTCAACTTATATGTTGGAAACAATGAAAGTTCAGACTTTACACTGGAAAAACCGTATCAGAAGATTTTTAAAACCAGTTATCAGTACTGTACATATCTCTCAGCTGCAGTGAAAACCTGACATTATTTTCAAGTTTCTTCATTTTTTTACTTGTCTTAAATAAGAACCCTGCAAACAAAGAAGGTGTGTCACTGACACAGTTGTATATGATTAATCTCAATACTCTGCGTATGAATATTTATCCAATTAGCGCAATACAGGGATTCAAATACAAGAGGAATAAGTTTTTTCAAACAACTTTTAACTGGAACATTTACAAGTCATAAAGGCAATGGCAGTATTTCCCTAATTATTACATAAAAACCTTTTTATCAACCCAATGCTTCAGTAATACAGCTGGAAAAAGTACCGATAGACCCATGCCCCAGCATGGAAATCCTATCACCACACAGTAGTCTAAGTTCAGAATAAAAGGAAAGTACCACTTTTTAAGGTCTCTCAATTACCAAACTAAAAAAAAAAAAAAAAAAAAAAAAAAAATTCATATATATAAAAAATTGTATTAACAGTTACATTAATAGGCATTCTATCATACACTGAAATAAAATCGGTTATTCCTAACTTTACTGTAGTAAGGTCTCACTGTTACCACAATGTTGAAGTCCTCTTTCACCTACCACTATGGACTGTTGTCATGTTTTAACCTCCTCAGACAGCTCCGACTGTCCCTGCAGGCAGCATTAGCATGGAACATAGGCAAATAAATACCAAGGAGTTCATTTGCTCAGGTTTGACTTCGTTCCTTACTTCCTGTGATGAGAACCCACACCAGTGAAAAGCCAGTACTACCTACATGGACATTGCTGTACTAGCTCCAAGAAAAAGCTGTCAAGATTAAGGCTCTCACAGTTTTTCCTCTTTTTTTTTTTCTTTTTTGGGGGGCGGGGCATGCAGGGGAGAGCAAGTATTATGTATTAGTGAAAGTTATTTTTGGGATGTTTACTTTCAATTCTGCTGAAGAAACACAACCGAACTGCATGACAAGAAAGTCATCTGACATTTACATTTAATCTGAATGATATTTATGTGCAGTCCATTTCTAGTACAGACAGGCGATGTAGGAACTGTTGACACACCTCATTCATCCCTAGGCAGCCCAGGCGCTCTCGGCATCACGCACCACATACATAAGCAGTTTATGGATATAGTTCACCAGTAACAGAACCGTGTGTCAGAATTGAAGATTGAGTTGCAAAAGTAACGCGTTCTTTTTAGTCTTTGATGTTGTAAACACCAGGAAGAAAAGCAACGAAGGAGTTACCTTCCCCAAACCAAACCAAACCAAACCAAACCAAACCAAACCAGCGCAGTAATGCTGCTGTCTCACAGTAGCGACCTATAGCGGGGTTCACCGTGACTTTCCGCAGAGATTACCTCGGCGGCATTGCCAGGCTCCCCGAAAGGAGCTTCACAGTCGTTACAATTCAGGTACGCTTGTCCCAGCGGGCACTTTTTCCAATGGGAAAAGCGTGTACTTTACTGTTAAGCGTCTACTTTCGGGGGAAGCACACAGGCAAGTGCCGGCACGCTTCCCGCGTAGGCAAGCCCCAGCGCACACGCCGCTCCCGCGGCGACCGGAGCCCCTCCAGCCCCCCACCTCG